TGCAACATCTGACGCAGCATAGCCAAAATACACCCCCAGTTCTTGATGATCAAGCAGTACAACTTGGCTTTTATCCTCCCAGCTGGAAGGTTACATCAGCCCCTTTCTGATATGGGTTTTATCTGCTGATCATTTACCAGAACTGCAAGATTCACCCACTGTAGTGTGAACGGATCGCAATCCTTAATGAGGGCCTTGCCATCGGATCAAAGCTCTCCTGCTTTGGTTCTTTGGACGCCTTATGCTTCAGATCCCAAGCAGGTGCTCTTCAGGCGTTTGCTTTTGGGAAGGGAAACTCATTACCCTCCCGTCTTCTCTCTCCTCCAGCTTGCGTCTGCCCATGCACCCAAAACACTCCGTCTACATGTAAACCTGCCTCTGCTTCCTTACCAGAGGGACGAGCAAGAGAAAAATAAACCTCTTCCATGCCTTTTAATGCCTTATGTCTTGGCACACAAGCGCTGACTTTCTCTCTTTAAGTCTGTGCAGCCAGTGCTGTGAGCTGTGTGGGAGCCTGACCTCCCCACTCCAGGCTGGGCAGAGGAGAGAGAGAGAGAGAGTGTGTGCACACGTGTGTCTTCTGCTGGGGTGGGGCGGGGAGGTGGGTCCCCTGCAGCTAACTTCTCTGCCGTGCCTAAATTCTGATGTTCCGGGCTCGATACCGAGAGTTTCCGTGCAAATACGGAACTTCTGTTCCGTATCCCCAAAAAAACAAAACGCAGATGGCACTCTTAGATTTAGTGTTGAGCAATTTCATTTCTTAACGCAGATTAACGAGTTTTCAAACAGCTCTTCCACAAAAAGAGCTACAGCTACAGCTGAGAGGGTGTGTAGTGTCACAGGCAGTGGCAGAAAATCCAGCCCTTTCTGCGTTTGTTTATGGAATGTGAAGCAATTATCTGGTTTTAATTTAATTGATGCCAGGACTGATGAATGTTTTAGCAGGCCCTCCCGCTCTCCTGCTCTGTCAGGTCTTCAGAGAGTGGCTCCTCTCTCTGGCTGAACTGAAAGCTCTCGCCATTTCTATTTTTTTTTATTGTGTCTTATTTCTGTTTCCTTCTTGCAATTAGTCATTAGCGGGAGATTTATTACGAGCAGGGTTATAGACTGAATGGACTTTAATGGGCTGTCTCTTTGTTCCCAGTGGAGCTGTATGCAGAGGAGTGTAATCAGAGTGAAGATGAAAGGGTGGGGGAGGAGGGGGGGCAGCGATTGGTCATTTTAGCGCGCTCTGTATGCACAGTCGGGGTCTCGAAGCCCGTTTTTATTAACAGCACCAACCAGGAGTCTGCGCCGGTGGTCCTCCTCTTGCCTCCTCGTGCTGTATCGCAAGTGCACCTCTGCACGAAGGCACGAGCCACCGACACAGCAAATAGACCATCAACGGGCTGCAGTCAGGCCCCAGGCTTGATCTCTCACCGCGGCCTGGATGTGAAAGAGGGTTTTGCAGAAAAAGGAAAGGGAGAGAGGGTGAGGTGCCACACCCGGGAGACTTCATGCATCCTCCTTCTTCCAGTGTAGGGAAGCGAGGAGTCGCAGTGCAGTTCAGTGTAGTTTTGACATAAATGTATTAGTCAAGGCCATCTGGAGAGCGAGCAGAGGGAAGCCATGTTCTGGTCCTCGGAGGGCGCATCCCTGCCTGCTTTTTCACCCTGAGACACAGCGTGAACAGACCTTAAATCGTTGCCTTAATTGTCATGTTGGGGGAAAAGGGACGCACGCCTCTGGCAAAAATGTTCTTAACCACCAGCATGGGAAGAGTATTTCCTCCATCAATGTCTGTCTGGCGCTCTCCAGTTGTCACGTATCTCTTACTGTCCCAGTCAGCTTGAATATAGACGTCTTTTTCTCTACACTTGCTAGAGTTTTCTGCTCTCTGAATTTCATATTCATTCAGGCTGTCTGTTCTTTTATGGGAGGCCGCTAAAAGCTGAAATGGCTCAAAATGCTGTGCTTGAGTCCCTTGCTCATATGATTAGATCATTGCCCTCTTTTAAGCCTCTGATATTCGCTTGTGGTCTTGCAGGGGTGTCATGTTTTTGTGTTTTCATTCTGCCTCGCACTCTTACTGCCTTGATTTGAGTCAATTGTTCACTTAATTGGTTTGCGCCGTCGGTATTTACAGCTTTTTATTCACTGAGAACTAGAAGTAGACTTTGGTCTTCCAGGACCAGGAGGGCAGTATCGTCTCCAGGCAGAAGCTGTGTCTCCTCAGCAGAAGCTGTGTCTCTAAGGATTTCTCAAGGTTCAGGAAGTGGTGGTGGGGACACATTTCTGTGTTGCGCAGGCTGTGGTGCCCTATTCTAATCTGTATCCCTGTGAGGTCTCTTTTTTTGGCATGAGAGGTTTCCCAATGTATTGGTAACAAATAAGAAAGTGTATTATAGTTAAAATATCGTGCATGTAGTTAAAATTAAAGCTTAAAACATAGCTTTTCTCTTGAGTCTTGATGGTTTTACCTTTCCAATAATCTGCTTATTTTGATCAAACCACTCTAGCGAAATTGGTTTTCGGGGCTCTGCAGCACTGAGCATTTACATCTCCCAGACTGCAGTAATGTGTCGATTAGCAAATCAAGGCAGATCAATTAGGGCTGTATGTAGGGCTGAGCAGATGTGTCTGTGTGTGACAGTCTGTATATATATATAGCCACGTTCAATCTTCTCTGCCTGTGCTCTATGATGAAGATTCGGACGTCATCAATGCCCCATGTTTTTTTAAGGGATAAAAATAACCTCAATTATGCTGGAAAATCCCTGAGAGGTGATACAGCACTTTAGTTCAATCAGTACGGCCCAGGCAGTTCCATTGTCTGCGAGCGCTTCACATGGAGAGCGCTACCTGCTGGAGCACAAGTAGGCCCAGGCTGACATTTCTTAGTTCTATCCGGTTTCTTTTAATAATATAATAAATAATCCTTACACTTATACTGTACTTTTCTCCCCACACACCAGCTCTCAGTGGGGAGGAGAGCAGAGTGATGAAGCCAGTTCAGAGATGGGGATTATTAGGAGGCCATGATTGGTAAAGGCCAGGGGGGAAATTGGCCAGGACACCGGGGTAACACCCCTACTCTTTTCGAGAAACACTCTGGGAATACCACAGTGGCTTGTTCAATCTAATACGTGTTCTGAGTTATTCCTGTCTGCCGTGTTTGTGAGATGTGTGGAAGACCCCACTCTTGCCGGTGTAAAAATAAGGTTGGAACCTTGTGTGTTCAGCTGTAGCTCATTTTCTGACTGGCCTATGAAGCTTTTGGCTTAAGATGCCTTTGTCCCAGATCTGTCCTTTTTAAGGTCATAGTAAAGATTTCTAGTAGGGGTCCAGAGGGCTTGTGTGTCTGTAGGTTTTCCGAGACTCTTCCAGCGCAGCAGCTGAGAAGCTGGGAGAAGCTATCCGACTCGTCCAGTGAATTTAATAAAGAGCTGAATGTGGTTGTGAAGAGACCAGCTGGACTGAAAACCCATAGAAAACGCTGGCCCTCTAGGATGGGGACTTTACACTGGGGTTCCCCGGTTTACAGGTTTGAAGGTGCAGAACTATTGAGACATACAGTATGGTCCTTTTTTCACATAAAAATGGAATTGCAGTTTCAAACTTCTCTGGGACTTAAGCAATAAAAAGAAATGTTGCAGGAAGACGAGCAGCCTGGCATTTCTCGTCAACTGCATTTAAGCATGCCTGCGGTTATCTCGGCTTCATAACTAAAGGCTGACCCTAGGAGATGTTCACTCTAATGCACTGTGTTGAAAGCAGAGCTGAGTACAGTGCAGCAATAGAAGAACATGAACCCGTGCCACAGCACATTAAACGTGTACTATATGAGAGCTAACACTGCAGATCTACCATGGTAAAATTCTGTAGGTGGAGTTTCAGTAGGGGTCAGTTGAATATTTCAACTGCTTCTGAATTGGGAGGGAAACTGGTATTACAGCAGGCCTGTTGAGAGCGTGAAGAATCCTCTGCTCTTGGGCTATGAATAGAATGCCCTGATTGTCCTTAGAGGCTGGTGTTTTGTTGGAAGAAGTCTCTGAGGAGTGTATTTCCAGAACTCCTCCCTGCTGTGTGGTGCATTTGGCCCTGGTGGTGGTCTCGTCTCTTTTCCTTCGCGTGTCATTTCTGCAGTCTGCCTTTTCAACCTCCGCCACAAAGCAACTGAGTGCACCTGGTCTCAGTGTTTCTGAACCCTTTTCGCCCCGCAGCACACTTGCATCAATGTAACAATTGTGCAGCACAGCGCCCCCTTCCCCCCACACACAGTTCACCAGCCTGTGCACGTTATTAATAATCCGAACTAAATTTATTTCAATGTTTAATGTGCATTTGCCTCAAAGTGCATAGTCGCATGGTCCTGAAAGGAGAGCACTTGCTCAGGTGCTCCCATTCTCCATTTCGCTTTTTTTCTGTCCGTCAGACCTGCAAAACTGAACTCACACTGCGTGTTTCCTGCGTGAACATTCTCAGAGCTCGGCCTCTGTCTGGTGTATACACCAAACAGGCAATCAACATGAAGCTGGTTGCACTCCTGTATGTGATTTAATTTTATTTTTCTCACCTGTGACTCTTCCAAAACTCTGAGGCATGCACATTAAGGCGCTTCTGAGAAGCCGGCACGTCCGAGCTTTGGCAAGGGATGCTGATCTGACAAACTGCGGAGTTTTTCTTGCACCAACACTTGTGATGCCTCAGAAACGGCGCGATTGTCTGTTTCTGAGAATTACATCACTTGAAAACCTGCATGTGCTAATTAGACATCAGCAGGCAGTTGTAATGAAAACAGTTCTGATCCCTTCTCCAGGATGACGAATTGCTTTTATCTTGTGCTGCTGTCCAGGAAGCTCTTTAGATGTTCGGTCTATCTTAAACTGGAGGTTTTTGTTTTCAAGGGGATGCAATATTTTGGCTGGGCTTTTCTTTCAGCGGGAGTGTTTGCTGTGCAAGCCGTGCCAGGCCTGCTGAATCCCTGTCCAGTTAATAACTGTCCGTGTTTGTCCTTCCAGGTGAAGCAGATCATGGAGGAGGCAGTGACCAAGAAGTTTGTCCATGAGGACAGCAGTCACATCATCGCGCTGTGCAGTAAGTCTCTGCCCCATGCTCTTGAATGTGCCAGGTCTTCACCTTGTCCTCTTTAGTGCTGCTGGACTTGTGGTTATTCCAAACCTTTGGTTAACGATTTGGAAGGACAAAAATGGAGCTAGTTGGTAAACTAACTTGGTTGTGGTCACCTGTCAGAGTCTGGAATCGTTCACATCACCTTCGTGCTGATCAGTTGGTCTGCTGATGGCTGTTGTGTATTTATTTTGATTTTTATTCCAACCTCTTTAAAAAACGAGGGCATCGAGGAGAACTCCAAAACCTGCTGGGCTGGGAATTTCACTGGCCTTCACTGCTCTTTAGAACATCTAACTCTAATTCTGTACTGTAGTAGTGCAGATGAGTGGATTGGATGGGCCACTTGTCCTGCTCTGTCATCGTCTATTCCTCCAAAACTGGCAGCCCACTGAAGCTCTGCTGGTGTAAGTCTGGTCAGTGCCTGGATGGGAGACCTCCTGGGAAAGCTAAGGCTGCTGCTGGAAGAGGTGTTAGAGGGGCCAGTAGGGGGCGCTCACCCCGTGGTCTGTGTGGGTCCTAATGCCCCAGTATAGTGACGGAGACACTATACGGTAAAAAAAGGTGCCATCCTTCAGATGAGTCGTTAAAAATTCCAGGGCATTTCTCAAAAAGAGGAGGGGTGTTACCCTGGTGTCCTGACCAAATTTCCCCCTGGCCTTGACCAATCATGGCCTCCTAATAATCCCCATCTCTGAACTGATTTCATCACTCTGCTCTCCTGCCTTTGCTTGCTGGGTGAGCTGATTGAGAAGAGATCTCCTGCTCTGATGGACGGCCTAGTGAAGATGCCGTGCCCGCAGAGATCAGCCACACCAAGTGAAATGTGGCCAAGCCCTTGTGATATCCCAGAGCCCGGAAGTGTCCTCTGACTCAGCTGGGTCTGTTTGCTGGCCCCACGCCAGGGTGAAGGTTAATGTGTCCAGGCCCAGAGATTCTGAGCTGCCTGCTGTGAGTCACGCCTCCGCTAACATTTCGCCTTGCCGGGAGTGAAATATCCCAGACAAAGGCAGCTGGGTTAGAGGCAGGTTACAGCCCCCATTCACAGAGCACGTTGAGCTAAAAGCAAACAACTCATCAGGCATGGGCGCCTCAGCCAGATCGGGGAGTGTCAGAGTAGCCAATCTGGTCCTGTGGTTTTATTGGGCTTTCAAAAGTGACTGTACACACCCAGGTTCATACATGTAAGGGAAGGTAAACTTTAAGTTCAGCCTTTTTATTTCTATAAACATTTTGCCCTCTTAGGTAGTGGAATACCAGTGTGTGTTTTTCCAGTATGAAAGTAATAGATGTATACAGGATCATGAAAGAACTGGATTTTATGTAATGCATTTCACCCAGCAACAGACCTCCAGTCACATTCCAGCACCACTGCCCAGCTGAGATGATGATAATAATAACCACCTTGTTTATTATGGGGGTCCCTTACATTCCTTAGACAAAATTTCTATTTCAAGGCTTTTAATAAAAATAATTCCTTCACTTTTCTGGACACTCCACTCAAAACGCTTTACAGGTAATGGGGATCCCTTCCACCACCACCAGTGTGAAGCCCCATCTGGAAGATGCACCACTACTCTACCCCCACACCAGCTCTCAGTGGGGAGGAGAGCAGAGTGATGAACCCAGTTCAGAGATGGGGGTTATCATGAATGGTCAAGGCCAGAGGGAAATTTGGCCATGACACCTGGGTGACACCCCTATTCCTTCTTTGAGAAACTCCCTGAGATTTGGAATTTCCATGGGGAGTCAGGACCTCAGTTTTATGTCTCATCCAAACATAAAAAAGATGGCGCCTTTTTTTTTTACAGTATAGTGTCCCCATCACTATACTGGGGCATTAGGATCCACACAGACCACAGGGTGAGCGCCCCCTACTGGCCCCACAAACACCACTTTAAGCAGAGACCTTAGCTTTCCCAGGAGGTCTCCCATCCAGGTACTGGCCAGGCTCACAGCTGCTGAGCTCCAGTGGGTGGCCAGCTGTGAGCTGCAGGGTGATGGCGGGCTGCTATACTGCCCGCCATCACCCTGCAGCTGTGCCGGCTGTCGTGTGGGGTGCCTCACCTACCAGCAGAGAGCCCTGCTGTGTGCCCGTCGCCGTACTGCTGCCTCACAGGCAGTCAGGCGGCGGGCCTGCTGGTCCCTTCGCTCTGCAGCACCACGCCAGCTCCGCGGCTCCCTGTCGGAGATGAATATCCGTTTTGCACTCTATCATTTACTCTGCCTCGGCACTTCTGACAATCTGAATTACTCTCGGGTTTGGAATGATGAGTTTCTAAGATGGTGCAGCACCTCAGTTCTATTTTAGGAGCGTGCTTTAATCTGATAAGCAGATGGGAAGAGATTGAGTTGCAATTTCCTTCAAGATCCTTCAGCTTTAAAGGTCCTGTTTTAAATAGAACTGTCAGGACGTGGTTGAGCTGCACTGTAATTACTTTATCAACTTAATACTGGGGGCAATTTAACACAAGACCTTTCTAATTTCAGTTTTATTATTATTTTAACAGCCTCATTCCAGGGGATTTTTTTTCTCCCACAAAGCTTTTGCACTGTTTGTCATTTCCATCACGCCAAGATCTTACCCCGGGTTCTGGCTGAATGCAGCACAGCTCTCTAGACAAGATTTCTGGAGGCCCCAGACATCAGATTGGCATCCAGTTATGTCATAACTGGGGGGCGGAGAGGCATAACGGGGGTTGTTCACAGGCAGGCCTTCGTAGAACAGACATGCAAAACAGCTGTAAGGAAAACAAAAAGGCTTTTATAATATCGTGCGAGAAGCACCCAAAAATATATACAGTATATTTACAAATCATGAGAAAAACTCTCTTTAAGCTTTCGCTAGTCTTTCAATCCTTCTCCAGCAGGAGATGGACAAGTAAGATACTGGCAGCAAACTTCAAAACGCTTTTTGCTGAACTCTTCAGAAGGAGTGAAGAATCCGGTAGCTCATGCTTCTAAACTCCGAAAGTCCAAAGTCATGTTTTCCTTCCTGCTCCCTTCCTTTCGTGAATATGCCCGAAGAGCAGAGGTTGGTGGCCACTGGAAGCCTCTACTTCCTGGTTTTTTAAAAGTCACCTGACTAAGTGCTGAAAAATAATTGGTCAGGTGACTTTTGAAAACCAGGAAGTAGAAGCAGGGTGGCAGGTTGTTCCCCATTACTCTCTGGAGAATGTGGTTAAGACACAGTCTTATACAGTGAAGCAGTTCAAGCCTGACGTTTCTCTGATTTTTACTTCCTATCATTGCATCCCATTACATTTGAGGCTAGCGTATTTTCAGATTACTTGTCAAACCTAAATGTGAAAAGAAGTCAAGTGGGGCACGTGTGTCTGTCGGACACCTTGCAGGGGCAGTAGTATCTCTCAGGCTGCACTGTTACAATACTTACAACCTTACAACTTTAAGGTGTTCAAAGGGCCTTTGTCTGAGCTTCAGATGGTCACAGATTCTTTTAGGTTTTTATAGAGATCTCATCTTCATCAGTTGACCCAAATGGTTTAACTGCCCCAATGGTTTTATTTTCGAGTTCCTTTACCTTAGGAGATCTTTAAATACAGCCCATTTCTTGAAACATTTTCTTGAGCCCTGGTGGGTAGAGTGTCCAATTATTACCAGTTGATTCCAATTACAGCTAGGCTGGCTGGAGAGCTTTGGGTAGAAGACTCAAGCTCCCTGCGCCCCCTCAGGGAATGGAGTTTGAGACCCATGGACTAACAGCGCTGGCTTTTAATTTAAATTGAATAATGGCAGCTCTGAGGGTTTCTGGGTGCGATGTGCCAAAGGGTTTAGCCCTGCCCTAGTTCTTTGGTTCCCGATAGTGCCTCTGTCACTCTGTGTGCATTAGTGGTATTATGTGGATGGCCTGCGGTCACTTATATTTTATATTTTTATATTTGGGTGGGAGAGGGCCATTACAGTTCTGGCCTTCTGCAGAGAGGCAGCTGTTCTTGGCTGCTGCTCTGCTGGATGTTAATGTGGTAGGCTCTGTCTCACCACTCGGCCTTGTTGATTGATCGGTGTGAACAGTTTGGATGCTTTTGGTCCCACCGAATATGGAGCTTTTAGATCGAAACCTGACCTTCCTTTCTTTAGGCTTTTGCATATGTGTTTTCAAAGCCTTTTACAGAGTTTGAAGTGCATTATTCCTGTTCTATATGCAGGCTAAGAAAAAAATGTAACTTTCATGTGCAAAAGGCAAGAATGCTTAAAACAGCCATAGCACTCAATGTGGACTTCTACTGCCAAGATATAATAGAAACACTGTGAAAACAAGAATTACTTAACCAGGGTTTCAATGGATTTACTTTATATTTAGAGATTTTATGAAAGCTTTGATTCCTCATTGCCACTGTTGCGTACACACAGATGCGGAAAACGTATTGGCGGTGTAATGACTCCATTATTAAATTCATTTTTTTAAG